GTCTGCACATGTGAGAATGCGTGAGTGTTTGTGGCAGCCTGCCCGTCCACCGTCAGTGTTTTTACCATGTGTGAGGTGCAAATTCTGTAAAATTCTGCTGTTGTGTCATTGAATATAGGGCGAATACTGAAAACACGCCCAAACACAAGCACACACACACAATAAGAATCTGCTGATTTAAAGGGCACCTATGATGAAAATCAACTTTTGTAAGCTGTTTGAACAGATCTGTGTGTAGGTATAGTGTGTCTACTGCCATAATGGAGTGCTAGAATCCAAATGCCAAGATAGGATCCAATTAATAATTGGATCCTATTAAAATAGGATCCAAATGCCAGTGATTTTGAAGCCCAGCGCAACAAGACATAGGAATGTGATTTTTCCCGCAGACCGAATTGTTTGACAGGTGCCATGTTTCTATTATAACATGTACACAGTCTATAATAATGTCCACATAACTTTTTTTGCAAATAAACTGAGATTAAAATATCTGTTCCAACTCTCTGTGATTTTTATAAGTTTATTTAGTTTAAAACGTTTTTTTTTTTTTTTTAAACAGTGCATGTTTGTAATAAAGACAGTAAAATTGCTATGCAATTCTTTACCACTATAATCACCATGGCTGAATGGTGTCAGTAAACGTTAATATATGTGTGTGTTTACTGCAAATGGCATTTGTGTGGAACTCATCATTTCAGAAAGGCTTGAATAAACTCCACCACAAATACATTAAATAAACTTACTTGTTTGTTTGTTTTTTGACTAATAAGCTGTATTTCAGCTTCATCCGAGTCTGTCTCTGTCACTGTGCTGTTTATCTGACATAAAGCATGATGAGATGCAGACGTGCACATGTGAACGATGGGCAGGCAGAAACAGTTCATTTGGATTTAAAGCCACAGGCTACAAAAACAGCTACAATGTATTTAGACACTAAAATGGATAGATTCTGGAGACTATAATAAATTATCTGATAAGTATTTTGTGCTGCAACTTTACAGACACATTCTGGAGACACCAAAGACTTATCTTACATCTTGTAAAGGAGGTAAAATAGGTGACCTTTAAATTTTATGAGTACTTTCCAGCCTAAAAGTTTTTATACTTATGCAGCTACATTTAGCATTAGAAGGCATACCCTTCTTTTAGTCAAAAATGAGTGTTGCCCACTGATTAAACACTGATGTAAAACTCCACACTGATGAAGAAAAACCTAAACATTCACAGAGTTTGTGATTAAGATGAAGTTGTTTCTTCATGCAAAGTAGACATGAGGATTGAAATTAATTGTAGAGTAGTAGAGGTTTAGTGAAGGTGGGTAAATTTTACCCAGAGGGTGAATGGAGTATACAAAAGATGACAGGAGGATTAAGCTCTTTTGCTTTGTCTGGTTCAAGCCAAAAAAAAATAATACAGAAAATGATACATTTAGGCCATTCACAAGGGGTGTGAGAGTCAACGCTTCCCATTCACTTGAATGGGTGATGTCAAGCGTTGCCAAACTGAATTGTGGATTCGTCATGCCCTCCATCAGTGGTTTCAATTTTGCGACAAAATTTACCTTTAACACTCAAAACATTGTTAAATTACATGTGGATGTTGTACGTACAGTATGTACCTGCATAAATAAAATGTTGTTTAAATTACTTGTTTAAATTGAGCTGGAAAATAAACACAATTTTTGAGTTTTGGGGGACAACTTAAATAAATCTAAAAAAAACTTGATTCCTTTATGTTGTCCCAACACAAATCGATCATGTGGAACCCAGCATTTTTACAGTGTGTGATGGTGTTTTTATAATTTGAGAACTACTTGAGAAAGATTTCAGACATCTAAACTAAACTTTAGCAAGTAACACTGAGAGCAAAAATGGTATGCTTGACCATTTTGTCCTTTTTAAGGTTGCATCTTTTTACAACATATACTGTGCTTTAAATTGTTTAAAGGTTGCATTCCTATTTATTCGAGTTAAAATTCAGTAATATTCAGAGAACTGACAATAACCTTGAAGTGGTCTCTTAATATTTTACAGAGATGTATATTTTATTTATAATAGCATATTTGAGTGATTTCTAAAGAATTGTGAGCCACTGAAACCAGCGTAATATGACATCACATAAATAATGTATGCTGATATTCATATATTCATATTCATAGAGCACAGTTATTTTAATGCCTAATTATATTTCAATAATTTCAATAGTACTGTACTTACTCCAGTTATTCTTAACATTTGTCAAATTTCCAGTTTGCCAACAATATAAAAGACAGATAAAGACAATAATTCAGTGAAGAGTGAATCTGAATCAAAGCATTGTCTCAAGACTGAATAATTCATAAAAAAAAAAGAACTAAAGGCTCATATGTTTTATAAAAGTCACATTGTTTTTCATGTGTATCTAACATGATGATATATGAAAAAAATTCACAGATTTTTTTTATCTCGGTTTGACTAGCTCCACTAGTATTGAATCCCTGTTTTATGCCATTGTTTTATTCAGCTGCGTCAACAGAAATAACTGACCATGCAGCACTAGAAAACATTGGTGCTTTAACGCAGGTGGCTTTCAGCTCTGTGCCAAACCACAAACCACCATTTGCTCTACTGTACATCTCAACTGAGTCTTCTTTTCAGTTGTGCTGTAGTCAGGTAAATCTACAATAGAGTACATGGTTAAAAACTGATATATACAGCAATGCTTTATACATTTATATACACAAAAAAAGATGGAACAAAGCAGCCCAACAAATGGCTGATTCATCTCTCTTTGACGATGACACAAATAACACACTGCCACAAATAACACAATGCTCTCTGCCTCAGAAATAAACTGAATCAAAGGGAACAGACATCAAGGGTGGAGTTATTGAATGTGGCAGGACCAATTTGGATAAGAGCAAATATACTTTTCATACTCTCATAATCTAGTTAGACTTCACCAGCCATCGACATTCAGTAATAATGTATGCAGTGTGTACAGTACCACAGACAGCTACGCCACATGAAATGTATACTATGAAAAATTGGGCTCTCTATCACTAGCTTTGAGTGTAGTATACCTTTTTCTTTAGCATAACTTTAGAGCAGAGATGCCCAAAGTAGGGCCTGCGGGCAAAAGTTAGTCTATTGTAACCTTTGATTTGGCCAACCATCTCATCTGAGAGTAGAGTAAGAATGATAGAGAGGGTTGGGACAATTGCCTTTCAAAAAGTCATTTCTAATTTTACGTAACCTTTTTAGCGACAAAAACTGAACAATTAAATGTTTCAATTAAATTTGGCAAATAAATCTGCTTTTTTTTTTCTTTTAAATGTGAATCCTCTCACACAGAGGACTATGCAGAAGACATCAGTGAGCATATCAAGGCAAAAACTAGTGTATCTGTGATAAATTTGGTTGTTTTGCTTTTACAATAAGCTCATTATTAAATGTGAAAAAAATACCATATTAGTTAATATAAGCAATGTTTTCTAGTCATTTTTAAATATTATTAAATAAATTAATAAATTAGGCGACTATATTTACCTCTGCCCCACTGGCCTCAATCAAGTTTGTTTTTTGGCTCTTCATAAGAAAAAGTTTGGGCACCCATGCTTTAGAGATATTTCCCACTAAATCAGATCCAATGATTATTATTTAAAACCAAAATTGTAGGCCTTTTGTTTTTGTTTCATTTAGATATTTTAGCATTATATTGAATCAGATTTTTCGATGGTTTAGATCTTAAATTTAAGTTTTTAACATCAATAATGCTAAATGAATATTTATTTTTAATCTCTCATTATTGTAATCCATTTTTAAATACAAGAATCTTCTGACTAAGGATTATTAATTTGTATACTTTCTTTTGAGTGATACAATTTAAAAGTAACAATTGTCTTTTAAAGGGCACCTACTTTACCCCTTTTTCAAGATTTAATATAAGTATTTTGTGTCTCCAGAATGTGTCTGTAAAGTTGCAGCTCAATCAGATTATTTATTATACTTTTTTAAATCTCTGAGAATTTTAGCTGTTTGGACACTGTAGCTGTTTTTGTTGCCTGTGCCTTTAATGCAAATGAGCTATTCTCCCTGCCCACCGTTCCCATGTGCGTGTAGCCTTCTTGTAGATAAACAGCACAGTGACAGACAAGAATGAAGCAGATCTCTTTTAGTACAGTAAGAACTTTCCCAACTGTTTTTTGATGAGTTTGTTGTTAAGTTAATTCAAGCCTTTCTGCAACGTGAGTCTCACACAATGTCATTATAAAGTTTGCACATGGGCACGCATGAAAACACACAGATTTAGCTTTGCATATTACATAGCAATTACATAGCAATAATACTGTCTTTATTACAAACATGCACTGTTTTAAAAACGTTTTATACTGGTAAAACTCATTCTTGAGGTGCTGCTAATCACAGAGAGCTGAGATCTTTTAATCCCAGTCGCTTTGCACATGTCCTGTCTTGTGGGTATGATTATATGCCATTCTATTGAGACATGTTAATACGCGTCTGTCAATCAAGTCAGTGGACGTGGAAACAGCACTCCTACATCACGTTGCGGTGGGCCTCAAAATAGGAGGGATGTGGATCCTGTTTTAACGTTATGAAATTTAAAAAAAGAAACTTATTGTGTTTCTATCACTCCAATATGACTGTGGACACACTATACCTACACACAGTTCTGCCCAACCTGCTTACAAAAGTTGGTTTCCATCAAAGGTGCCCTTTAATATTTGGTGTGAAGAGTGTGATTGTGATAACTTTGTTTTTAAAATATAAAAGCACAGAATGTTCAAACTAAAACCGCAATGACGTGAAATAAAGGTAAACTGGATAAACTGAAAAAAGATGACTAGGAAAGATGGCTGGATAAAAGAAAAGTTTTTCTAAACCAGCAAGTGCGTATAAGCTCTAGCAGATCCAGAATATATTTGGCAGTCAGTCAGGAACGATCATGTTTACAAGAGTCTGCCACATGGAGCCGTAAAAGTCCTTATATGTCCCACTCACCCATCAGTGTCCTGGAAGTTGACATTCACCCTCTTGGCCGAGCCCAGCAACTCTAAAAAGAGAAGAGAAGAAAATATGGAGAAGTATGACTAAAAAGCCACTGCAGGAGAAAGTACATTTTACAATATGTTATCATATGCTGGGACATTCCATACAGTTCCTGTAGCTAAAGTCAAAAAGAACATTGTTCACACACATCTGTGAAACTGACTGAAATGTGTTTTAAACAAGCCAGGAATTTATTTGGTGATGTTACTTTGTAAAAAATTAATATGTACACTTAGAAAAATATTCTTTGTATTTATTACATTTTTCTAAGGTAATTGGTTGCAAACAATTTATATGGGTAGAATAAAAAAAACAAGGTTGAATTTATTAAATTTAAGTTTGTGTGTTTAAATTCAGCCCATATAAATTGTTTGCAACCAGTTACCTTAAAAAATGTAGCAAATCCAATGAAAGATTATTTTAGAGTATCTGCATGCAGGCTATACAGTTTTCGGGTTTGTTTTTTGTATCTTGCCTTAAAAAAATATATGTGCTGTCACACTAGTAGATCGACTTTTTTTTCCAAAACAGAGATTAAAATAGTTAAAATGTTGCTTTCAATGTTGTGTTCAATTTCACACTGCAAAGTTTTTGAATGGACCAAAATTGTTAAAACAACTCATGTGCGAGTAAACTCTCCTCACATTGTTCAGAGTTCTCCGGTTTATTTTTTGGGATTCCGCTCAGCTGTCACATGTCATAATTTTAATTTATGACGATGATCAATTAGACATTATAAGAGAAAAGGTGCGCTTTAATTATGAATGGTGACACCCAGAGACATCATCACCAAATATAAGTTAGAGGAAAGACAAGAACACCATTCAGAGTTGTAAAGCATTACTTCGCTACAGCAATCCACATGTGTTTTAGAGGCTAATTTCAATTCAAATTACCACCCCGCACCTCATACTACCAAAGTAATTGATTTCTACTTTACAAATAATATCAAAAAATATGGCATATTTCTGAAAACATATAAATAAAAGGAGCACTCTAATATGATTATCAATTGAAACTGCACAGTATGTCATCTGGTTGTGATGTTTGAAACTGCATCCAAACAAAATCTTACAGATTTTTTTTTTTCAATTTTGAAATATATTTTATATTATAATTTGCTTAGATATTTAGCTTAGATTTTTCTGTAATTTTAGGCTATAACAGGTTTTGTAAAATACATATTATATGTAATATAATAACATATACATGTATTGTGGTGACGCAGTGGCGCAGTAGGTAGTGCTGTGGCCTCACAGCAAGAAGGTCGCTGGTTTGAGCCTTGGCTGGGTCAGTTTGCGTTTCTGTGTGGAGTTTGCATGTTCTCCCTGCATTTGCGTGGGTTTCCTTCGGGTGCTCCGGTTTCCCCCACAATCCAAAGACATGCGGCACAGGTGTATTGGGTAGGCTAAATTGTCCGTAGTGTATGCGTGTGAATGAGTGTGTGTGGATGTTTCCCAGAGATGGGTTGCGGCTGGAAGGGCATCCGCTGTGTAAAAACGTGGTGGATAAGTTGGCGGTTCATTCCACTGTGGCGACCCCAGATTAATAAAGGGACTAAACAGAAAAGAAAATGAATGAATGAATACATGTATTGTTTTATTGTTTTCAAAAACTTATTAAAAAACCCTTGTTTTGTTAATCGTTTTAAAACTTTGTTTCAATTCAGCTAGAATATGAAATCTTTCTTCTTTAAAATGAGAGCAAGCTTAAATCTATGCACCAAAGCTTTGAAGATTGGCAATCATTAAAGCAGAACTTTTGGCGTTCAGTGTGACCATAGCTTATATTATTGCAGTTTCAATGCATTTTATGTCCTTTTATGTCTTTATTTATTTGTGTAAATGTGCATGTATGTGTATATTGGCATGCATATGTATAAGATCTCAATAAAAGAGAACAAAACCTTTAAAAAAAAAAAAAACCTTTCAGACCACTGTCATATAAACAATTGTTTTCCATTTTTAGCTGAACATTGTGTCATGTAATGTACCCTCTAAATTGCCTTCCAGCTGAAAAAACGGCAGAAGAAAGCACTAGTTTTGCCACATAATCAATGTTTAAATGTATACTTTTACATAAATATTGGATAATCTTCATTGTTTGGCAGTACTAATTAAAGAGGAGCTACAACGAGATAATCATTCTTCTACAGAACTATTGTTCAGTACTGTCAGGATACCCATAAATCCCTGTCACAGACAGAAAAACACATACGTTTACAGTCATTTGAGGTTATACTCGAAGAGCATTTTTAGTCTGCATTCATGTGGAGCTGCATTCAAGTGGATGGCACACAGTTCTCTTTCCCAGCAGACATAAGGAGGAATGTTGTGCCTATCTCTAGGGGCCGTTCACTCCATCTTTTCCCCTAACAGCGGACTGGTGTCGGATTTTCTGCCATCCATTAATCACTCGTGCTTCACCCACAGCGCCACCAGGGGACCAGGATGCAGATTTAGAGGAGGAAACCTGCCAAATCATGCATTGGTGCTCAAAAGCAGTGTCTATTGGACTAAATCAGACACAAAATAAGAGCCATTTGTTCACTATTAGCTTTATAAATTCATACCGATTATATATTCTATCTATCTAGAGTATTTGCTTATTGGGATGTTTCATCACAATGTATGATGAGCTATCACTATATGTACTGTACATTGCATGACAAATATCTATACTTTTAAGCGGGTTAACCTAGAGCAAATATGAAGTGATTTGTTTAACTGAAAGTTGGTTGGTAGAAAATCTTTCAGTAACTATAAGCACATAAAATCACAGAAGCCACCTTAATTCTAGCTTGTATAAACCGGTGAAGTGAAACAACACCTGCAGTACCAAAAAACAGTCACACTTTATTTTACTTTATTTTAAAGTACAATAAAGACTTTTTGCTCAATATATTAATAGTTAGTAAAGTAGTGATTGGGTTTATGCACTGGGTCAGATTGGGGATGTAGAATAAGATCATTCTTTATGAGTGCTAATCAACAGTTCATATCTTAGGCCATAATAAATAGTGTAAATTGTTACTTAAACTTAATCGTTACCAAAACAGCCTAAACATAGTCCCTTGGAAATGCCTTTTATAATGTGATATGAAAGGACCAATAATATTACAGTTTATTTGAACATGACAAATGCTGGTCAATGTATTGTAGAAATATTGCTTTGTGAAAGCTAATCGAACTAAAAAGAAATTGTAACATTGTAACAGTTTTACAAATCAATGCAAAGAGTCTAAAATTATGAAAATGTCTTGAGAAATTCTGTCACTTCAAGACAGTTTGGTTGGTGCAAGATGAAAAGTATTGTTTTTCAAGATTAAACAATTCTACAAACTCAAATTATTAATAACAAATGCACTTGTTACGTGCTGGATAAGTTGGCGGATAAGTTGGTGGATAAGTTTATTCTGCTGTGGTGACCCTGGATTAATAAAGGGACTAAGCCGACAGGAAAATGAATGAATGATGAACAATCGCACTTCTGATGGATTTTTTTAATGTTTTCAACATAGGATAATACTGTAGGTAAAATCTCTATAAATATGGGACTTTCTATAAGAAACACATTTTCACATTTTAAAAAATGTGACAGGGCCTGACCTTCATCCTCAAAAAAATCAAACAGCATCCAATCATACAATTCAATGATCAAACACATCCTTGATCATGGTCAGCTTCTTCTCCATTAAATGAGTCATAGCCTTAAACATGTATTGCATGTATTTTATGTTAAATTAATTGCAAATGTGACAGGACTGACAGGCACATGGGGACAATTGTAAATGTATTTGTTTTATATATTTGTAGTATGTATCTATTATTTCACATTTTTAATCAATTGATGTGAATGCTATTTATGAAGTTTTTCTTTTTTTTAAATAACCGTTTTTAGCGTAACAAAATTATTAAGGCTGTGGGTTCAATTAGGCTGAAGACAAGGACAATGACAGGTTTTGTAAACTTGTAAAGTGTTTTTAATAAAGAACAAAAATCGGAATACCTGAAAATCTGAACCAAATGAATGTCACAGTCCTTTAAAGAACAACTCACAGAAATCAACCATCAGTTCATTTTAGAACTTTTTGAGATGAAAAACGCTTTATTCACTGTATTTATGTTTTTATTTCAGGGAGAGATAATGTACATTTTTGGTAGAATGTCTCAAATATATAGTACCATAAGTGATCTGCACACTAATATGGGTGGTAAATACTATTATGATTATTATATTTATAATTCATAACATACAAATGCTGCATTCACTGTGTCCAAAGTTTTATCCCACTAAGAAATCTTAAACTCGGAAAGTCCCAAAAATTCCACTCGTAATTTTGATTTGCAGTGACATTCATGTGCGTTCAACTCATAAATACAATCTTTCTGACAGGACTTGAATGCACTATAAAGTCAACAATCACAACATAGCATTAGCCTGACTGCCCAAAAACTATCAAAACATACTCAACACAGCCACAATGGCTCCAGCACTGGTGTCTATTTGAGACAGGAACTATTTGATCAATCAACATTGGTCTGGTCTATACTATGAGGAGTGCCCAAACTCGGCCCTGGAGGGCTGGTGTCCTGCAGAGTTTAGCTCCAACACCTGAATAAGCCTGTTTAGCAGACACACCTGAATAAGCTAATCTAGTTCTAACTAGCATTCAAGAAACTTCCTGGCAGGTTTGTTGAAGCAAGTTGGAGCTAAACTTTGCAGGACACTGTCTTGCCCTCCGAGATCGAGTTTGGGCACTCCTGCCCTGGTTTCTACTGTAGAAACAAAACAATCCTGGTTTGTGCGATTACAATTGATCTAACAGAAATGAACACTCAAGCTTTAAGTTAATCTCTGGCAGCAAAACTAGAACCAAATATCACACCTTAGGTGTGTTTGTGATTTTAACTGTCTGAAGGTAATGAATTCCTTAACACCTGAAAAACGACTTCTATTTGTACTATAATACAAGTGGTGGAGTTTGGAAGCAGATCAGAAAGT